TTCGAACCCCTCTCCCCCCCCCCCCCTCCCCTGCTCATCATGAAAAGAGGGGAGGAGTCACTACCGGTTCGATTCCCTCCCCTCCCCCGTCTCCTCCGGATCCGGAAAACCGGGGGGGTCACTACCGGTTCCCCCTCTCGAAAACCCAGTGGGGGTGCGCACAGAGGTGGGGACGGTGTTGGTGGGACAGTGGTGAAGGGATAGCGGGACAGTGGTGGGGACAGTGGGACAGTGGGACAGTGGTGGGGACGGTAGTGGTGGGGACAGTGGTGGGGACAATGGTGGGAACAGGGGGGACAGTGGACAGTGGTGGTGACGGTGGTGGTGGGGACAGCGGTGTGGGGACAATGGGAATGAGGTGGAAACAGTGGGACAGTGGAGGGTACAATGGTGGTGGGGACAGTGGTGAAGGCGGTGGCGAGGACGGCGGTGGGACAATGGGACAGAGGTACAGTGGGGACAGTGGTGGGGAAAGTGGGGACAGTGGTGGGAACAGTGGGACAGCTCAGTGGGACAGCGGAGGAGTCAGTGGGACAGTGGGGACAGTGGGGATAGTCGGGCAGTGGTTGGGGCCGTGGAGACAGTGGGGAGAGTGGAACCGTGGTGGGAACAGTTCTGGGGACAGCGGGGACAGTGCGACAGTGGTGGGGCCACTGGTGGGGACAGTAGGGGCGGTGGTGGAACCAGTGGGGACAGCGGTGGTGAGGACAGTGGTGCTGGGAACACCAGTGGGGGATGTGATGCGGACGGTGGTGGGGACCGGGAGTCGTTTGCTGGCGGTGAGTAGGGGGGGGGGTAGGGGGGGGGGGGGGGGGGGGGGTTCGAACCGGGTGTGACCCCCCCCGGTTTTTCCGGATCCGAAAGGGTGGGGGGGGGGGGGGGGAGGGGTTCGAACCGGTAAGTGACCCCCCCGTTCTTCGAGCGGGGGGGGGGGGGGGGGGGGAGGGGTTAGGGGAGGGGGGGGTTTTGCCTGGGGCGAGGGGGGTGGGGGGGGGGGGGGAGGGTTCAGCAGGGGGGGCGGGGGATTGGGAGGGGGGGGGGGGGGAACCGGGGGCGACCCCCGGGTTCCGGAGGAAAAGGTTGGCAATTTTCCACAGTAAAGCGGCGGTGGATCACGCTCTCTCATGTGTATACATATATATATATATAGTGTGTGTGTGTGCCCTGACATGCTGGCAAAACCTTTGCTATTGGACGGATTTCGACGTGCGCGCGCTGAGACGCTCGCATGTGGCCCGTATTGTAGCACTTGAATAAATGTGGAGCCCACGAAAAACGTGCGCGCGCAACCACGTACATGAACACGGCCCCCCAATCCGTGAGACTGGCCGCGTGATACGAACGTTCGCGCAATGCGCACTTTCGAACCAATGTGGATTCATGTGCATGTTCGTCCTTCGTTCGCTTCTGAATGAAGCGAGCGATGATGGCTGAATATTTCGACATTCGCACGCGTGTAGCCCGCATGATCTCGTTTGACAGAATGGCACAACAAACTAAAATGCGAATGCGCGCGTAGGAATCTGGCATCCCGAGGAACTCTTGTTCAATCATCTGTGAACAGATCTGTCTTTGCAGCTTTGTCAAAGACGTGGCTCCAGACTTATTTTGGCATGCGCACGCGGCGACGCACGCGTGCCCATACTTCTTAGATCAACGCATGTGCACCGAATACTATTGTTTGAGACGGACGGAGAGATGTCGATACCGAGGTTAACTGGCGTATATCGGGGGAGCAATCGTGCAGAATAGAACGATCCGTGGAGGGGGCGATGACTCGGGCCTCGGCAAGGGGCTACGGGTGATTTTTTCGGTGGCAACTCATGGGAGCCTCCCATACCATCTTGTCGGCTCTTGCGAATCAACGCTAGTCGACGCTAAATCAACGCTAGTCGACGCTAAATCGACGCTGGCCGACGCTAAATCGGCGCTATCCCATGGACCCCCAGGCGCGAATCGACGATTATCGACGCTAGAAACGGAATTAAGGGGGTATACCAGGCTCCCATGATTTGCTACCGAATGACTTCTTTCGGAACGGGAATTCGCGTACCTCCGGGGCCAGGCCAGCCGCTCCAAAGGCGCCTGCTAGCCGCCCGTGAGCGAACATCCCGAGACTCCAGCCAGCGCGCCCGTCGCCTGTGAGGCCCCAGACGGGTCCGCGCGGGGGGGGGGGGGGAAGCTGGGAGCATGCAAACCAGCGCACGGGGCGCCCACGAGGCGGCGCTCCGGCGAAAGGCCAGCCCACGCCCCGTGGGCGCCCGCGCGGCGCCCACGGGGCGACGACCTGGAAGCGCAGGCCAGCCTGCGACACGGATTGACCAGCCTGGAACATATCCTTATCCCTATGCTGGGCACCTCCTCCTCACGATGCCACTCTTGGGGATTCCCTTATTTCTTGAGGGCGAATCCCTGAGATTGTCGTCGCCTTTTGGCGTGTCAATCTTAGAGATAGGGATACGTTCGAGGCTGCGACACGGATGCCAGCCAGCGCGCGGGGCTCCCACGCGGAGGCGCCCTCTGCCCTCGGCAGTCGCTGGCCGGCGCACGGCGCGCCCCCGGGCGGTGCGCCGAGGCACACAGCGGGCGGCCACTGGGCGAACGCCGAGGGCTGCAGGCGAGCGCGCGAGGCGTCCACGAGGCATCCACGGGCGCCCTGTGGGCGGAAGCCCGGAACCGCCAGCCAGGACGAACAAGATCAAGAAGAATGTTGAAAATATATGAATGCCAAGAACAAAAAAAAACAAGAAGAAGAACGACACTGACAAGCATACGAACACGAGGAATAAGAACCCGAGAGTAGTCGACGCAGAAAATCCCCATGTGTGCATCGCGTTCCCTGGCACTTGCCGCTGTGAGCGTGGGTGGGTCCGAGTGGACAACGGCTACGACGACGACGACGACGACGATGACGACGACAACGACGACGACCACGGCGGCAGCCACGAAGAGGGACGACGACGACGATTGACAGACAGACAAGCGGTGAGCAAGTCCACTCCCCCATCCTTCCTCTGCCTCCTCGTCGTAGCCCCCCCCTTCTCTTCCGCCCGCCGCCTTCAGCCCCTCTCCCTCCTCCTTCGTCCTCCTTCCTCGTCCGTCCTCCCTCCTCCTTTTCATTGTCGCCCACCGCCACTGGGGCCTTCGGTGGAGCTTTCCATGGGGCCACAAAAAAAACTAGACTGGGTGGGGGACACGCATGCGAATTCCGCCAGTAGAACCTTCGGTGGAGCTTCCTATGGGGTAACGAAGCGCTGCACTGAGTGGGGGAAACTCACGCGAACACCGCCACTGGGGCCATCGGTGGACCTCTCTATGGGGCCACGAAGCGCTGTACTGGGTGGGGGAGACGCATGCGAACACAGCCAGTGGGGCCTTCGGTGGAGCTCCCCATTGGGCCACGAAACTCTGTAATGGGGGGGAGACGCATGGCAACACCGCCACTGGGACCTCCGGTGGAACTCTGTATAAGGGCACGAACCGCTGTACTGGGCGGGGGGGGCGCATGCGAACACCGTCATTGTGGCCTTCGGCGGAGATCCCTATGGGACCACGAATCGCTGTACAAAACTTCGTGGGGAGACGCATGCGAACACCGCCACTGGGGCCTTCGGTGGAGCTCCCCATGGGGCCACGGAACGCTGTACTGGGTGAGGGTAACGCATACGAACACCCCCACTGGGGCCTTCGGTGGAGCCCTGTATGGGGGCACGAAACGCTGTACTGGGCGGGGGGGCGCATGCGAACACCGTCACTGCGGCCTTCGGCGGAGATCCTTATGGGACCACGAAGCGCTGTACAGTACTTCGTGGTGAGACGCATGCGAACACAGCCACTGGGGCCATCGGTGGAGCTCCCTATAGGGCCACGAAACGCTGTACTGTGCGCGCTGTTTCCGGACACGCGGAGGGCAGAGGCAGGGATGGGGGGATTATGCTCGATTCTGCTTCAGAGCCCCCATCACTCTCACTCAGTCACAGATCGCCGCTGCCGCAGACATAGGAGGATGGGGAGGAGGGAGGAGGGGGAGGAAAAGAAGAGGAGGAGGAACGCGGGGCGCTGTTTCAAAACGATTACCCACAACTACAGGATTGTTTGGAAAAAGAAATGAGAGAGAGAGAGAGAAATAAATTATCCCAGTGCGACCCTACCTAGGAGTTGGAGCATCTAGGAAAGCAACATCTACATCTACACCGACAGCTGTGCAGCACCGCGGATATGCTATGCTATGCTATGATGCGCTATGCTATGCTATGCTATGCTATGCTATGCTATGCTATAGTATGCTGCGCTATGCTATGCTATGATATGAGATGATGCGCTATGATATGCAATGCTATGCTATGCTGTGCTGCGCTATGCTATGCTATGCTAGGCTATGATGTGATATGCTATGCTGCGCTATGCTATCATATGCTATGTTATGCTGCGCTATGCCATGCTATGCTATACTGCGCTATGCTATGATATGATATGCTATGCTATGCTGCGCTATGCTATGATATGCTAGGCTATGCTATGAAACACTATGCTATGCTGCGCTGAGCTATGCTAAGCTAAGCTATGATATGATATGCTATGATATGCTATGCTATGCTATGCTGCGATATGCTATGCTATGATATGATATGCTATGCTATGTTGCGCTGTGCTATGCTGCGCTATGCTATATTATGATACGCTATGCTATGTTATGATATGTTATGCTAATGCTGCGCTGCGCTAAGCTAAGCTGAGCTGAGCTAAGTTAAGCTAGGCCAGGCTAAGCTAAGCTAAGCTAGGCTCGTCTAAGCTAAGGTAAGCTAAGTTAAGCTAGGCTGAGCTAAGATGAGATAAGCAACGCTAAGCTAAGGGGGCGCAACTGGGGGAACCGCGGGGCGGATCCTGGGGGAACCGCCCGGGGCGCTTTACACTGCCCGGCCCTTTGAGAGAACACGGTAAGAACCCTTCTGGGCAGAGCCTAGGTAGGGAACACAAATCTGCGTGTGTGTGTGTGTGTTTGTGTGCGTGCGAGTGTTGCAGGGAGCGTGGCTCATGGGCACTTAGGGCAGCACATCCGCCGCGCTTGGCGCTTGATTGCGAGCCGCGAGGGACCAGAGCTCAGACGACCAGGTCGGCGTGGCCGAGCTGGGAGTCGAGGAGCCGCTGCCCCTCGGGCTCAAAACTCAGCGTCTGTACACCGCCTGCTGCCCCGAAGTGCGCAATCTTGCACACGACGCGGAGGATGGACACCTGAGCTGCGCAAACCTGCACATCCTCGCTTCCAGCGCCGCTGCCAGCGACGGTCACATCGAGGACGGAGGGGTCCGATTCCCGTACGGCCACGTGTTGGAATCTGATCCTGGCCGCGGTCACGTACTTGTCCACCTCTCCGAGGAAGATCCACCCATCGAACGCCACGGTCACGACAGCATAGACGTGCCCCTCGTAGCCAGGGCGGAGGAGGTTGGTCTCGGCGAGCGGAGACAGCTCCCCGGTGTACCAATTGTATACTACGTGGCCGCTGTGATCCCTGAGATTCACCATCCCTGGGGTGATGGGCTCCGTGCCGTTATCACTGAAGAGGTAGTGAACATGCAGCTCTTGCCAGGATCGAGTAGGCACGCTCGAGTACGCATGGAACAACCAGCACTCACCAGGATCACCTGGCCTCCTGAAACATTCCTCGGAAGTGACCACTGGCTCGTCTGGCTTGAGCAAAATGCCGTCATTGCGGCAAGTGGACATGACACGGGTAGCGTTCAAGAGGTTGATGCCGTCCATGGGGCCCACCATTGCACAAGACAGCGTCGCCATTATGGCCTCCCGGTCGGGGTGCATCTCGGGACCCTTGGTTTGGCCCCCCTTCTGGAGGTGCGTGCTAGAGTAGAAACCGTCCTTGAAGGGCAGTATCCCAAGGGCCCAGTAGAAGAGGGCCGTGCTGCCCACCGCCCACTGGTTGTCGCTGTGGAAGTAGTCGCCCGTGGCGCGCGCGTTCGTGACGGCAGGGTGGGCGGCGCCAGACAGCACATCGCTGGGGTACGGCATGCAGTACTGCACGGTGCGGTTGCTGCCAGCCGCGCCCGCGGCCATGCCTGCGAGCCAAAGGTCGCCCATGGTAATGTTGGTCTGGAGCGCGTCGGTCTTGTCGTTCTGCGTGCTCATCCAGTCCTGCTCGTACATCTCGAGGCCCCAGCCCTCCTGCTGCGCGAAGAACCACTTGAAGAAGGCAAAGGGGTCCTTCGGAATCGCTACCCCGTTAGACGTGTACCACTCGAAGCTCAGATTGTTGATGTAGTCAGAGTGCGGTGACCACTGGCGATTGTGCATCGCCATGGGCATCTTCAACAACGACTGAATGTGGGCCATCCCGCCTGGGAAAACATCTGGGATCGCTGTCCAATTCGTGACGCCGCCGCCGCCGCCGCCGGGATCAACTGCGCCGTCCTTGGGGTAAAACCAAGAGTCGAACTGCCAATGCTTGAAGGGAACTCCGATGGAGTCGTGATATGCCTTCACCTGTGGCAATACCTCCTCGTACGTTTCGTTCGAGCCAGTGGCATAGTGGTAGTAGCCGCCGTTGTCGGTCCAGAAGCCGATTGAGCCTACTATGTTGCCCGCGTACATGTCGGCTCTGGGCTTCGCGAGATACTTGAGAGCACGGTCACCCCACGCCATCATCCCGTCGTGGACCCCTGCTCCTAGAAGAAGAAAAAGACATTGGCATACACATTTCGGAGCCCCGCGTGGATTTCTTGGATCGGCGCTGGGCACTCCTCCCTGGCGCGCTCCGAGCGCCAGGGTGGGGACCCGATCCAAGAAATCCGCGCGGACCTCCGACAGTCTCTGCTTGTGCATTTGGTCTTCTCGCTGCTCCGGCGGACAGCATGACCGACTGCTTCCAGCCAGCAGGGATCCGCCGACCCCCGCCAACTGGGGATCAAGAAGGCCCGCAGCAGACGCGGAGGAAGAGGCGAGCGAGTCAGCAGCAGCTGCATGCAGGCAGCACGACGTGGAGCGGCAAACAGCAGGCACGACATCGGAAGCCGCACATCGCCCGGTCTCTGGCAGGTGAGAAGCCGTGTCCGGAGGGACGCGGGTCCTGGCTCCCATGGCTCCTTCCCCCAGACGACCAGCTCCTCATTACCAGCCGTTTGGTTTGGACAGGGACCCAGGCCCCTGCAGGTCCCATGAGCCCGACAGGCGCTGAAATTCCCCGGGGCCCGACTCCCTCAGGACCCGTTTGCCCCTCGGCGATCTTCCTGTTTCGGGGGCCTGGGGGTCGACGGGGAGTGGCGTGGGCCTCTCGAGATCAGCCCGACCGTCGCCTTCACGCCCACGCCGAACATGCCCTCCGTGGAGGCCATGTGCTGCGCCTTCGGGGCGGTCAGCGGCGCCAGCACGACCACCGGCAGGTCCGCCCTCGTGGAGTTGTAGATGACCAGGGGGGTGCCCCCCTCGGCAGGGCCGGCGGGAAAGGGGGTCGGCCTCCGGCCTCCGGGATCGCGGGATCGTGGATCAAGGGATCGAGGCTTGCTGGACGTTCCTGGAGGCTCCAGGCTCTCCCCGTCGCGGCCGGGCGCAGCTCGGGGGACTGGTCAGTATGGACCCCAGGAGCGATTCCAGGATCGATTTTGAACGGATTTTGGTCGACACCATCGTGTACTAAAACATCACAGCAAAAGGTTTCCTGAGGAGAGCCGTCGTAGGAACGTGTAACGGCCACTGAGGCAGATCAAGGAGCCATTGAAGCATATTGGCCCAGATTTGGCCCAAGATTGAGCCGGATTAAGCCATATGAAGCGGGCGGCATGAGATGGGAATGTGCCGGATTAGGCTGGTTTTCGACCACGGATATACCAGCGCGTATTATGAATTCAAAACTCCCAAGAACTGCGTCCAAAAAATCTGATCGGATCGGTAGGAGAAACAACAGGTCTTCGGGCTACTTCGGGCTAGTTTCTGCCTCTGGGAGCCGTGTTCAGGCTCCGGAACAGTCATAAAAACGGCTCGCAAGGAAAAGCGGGCCCCTGGGAAGGGGTCAAAACCTGTGGGGGACGCAGGAGCCATCCGCAGTGGGAGAGCCAGGCAGGAGGAAAAGAGGGAGGCAGAGGAGCAAGAGGATCAGTCAGCATCGAATCGGAAATCGGATCGGATCTGCACATGCGTCGGATCGGGCCGCATCGGCACGGAGTCGAGACTGGATCGAATCGGCCGCGCCAAATGCTTAACAGCGACGCGCGAGCATCGGGCCGCATGGGATCGTATGCAAGTCGGAGGCGAATTGGATCGGGTCGGCCAGCATGGATATCGAATCTGATCGATCGGATAGAAATAGGCCCCGCCAGGTGCGACTCCGCATACGTTTCCACCTTGCAGCCCTTCATGCGTGGGAAGATACCATGGTACGAGAAGCAATCCAGGCTGTCCGCTGGGCCTGGCTTCCGGCTGAAGGCGGGGAAGAGCGTGCTGGCCAGCAGGCCGTTGTCCGGCGCAGTGATGCTGATGGCCGACGGGAAGTATTGCTCAAACAGGAGGACACCCTTGTCTGCAGGATACCTGTAGTCCTCCTCCTCCTCCACCATCGTCTCCTGCCTCGCGGGTCGCAGGACAAGGGAAGATAGAAAGGGGGCGGGCATGCGTATTTGATTCACACTGGGCGATTTCGCCCGGTTTCGGGCCCCGGGACCCTCACGGATCGATCCGTCTTAGAAATGCAGCAGACCTAAGGCTCTGGTCGTGATGTTTCACGTTTTGCATTTTTTCGCGACGTCGGAATCAGCTCGTGTAACTACCGTCCTCGGCAAACTTCTGGCGCCGGGGGCGATCGAAGAAAACGCTGGTGGCGGGGCAACAAAAACAGCTACACGCAGCATTTTCGCAACCCCCTTTCTAATTCCCTCGCTTTTTCGACCGACCCGATCATGATCATCCCCTCCTCCTCCTCGTCCTCCTCCTCCTCTGCAGACCTCCCAACGGGGCCAGAACAGATGGGGTCGGAAGATCGTGCCGCATCGCCGATGCACCGGCGATGCGGCGCGATCCTCCGACCCCATCTGCTCTGCCCCAGGTGGGGAGGCCTGGGCCTCCCCCCCTCCCTTGGCGGCGGGGCGCGTTCGGAAGGTCGTCTCCAGCAGGACCGCGCCCGCGCTGGCGTTGGGGCTCCGGGCCCAGCGCAGGGTCTGCGCCACGAAGCCCCCGAGCGCGTCGGAGCCCTCGTAGGTGAACGTCTCCAGCACCACGAGGTCCCCCGAGGCGGAGGAGTGCTCGCCGACCCTGCGCGGGCCCAGGCCCTCACCCGCCGAGCTTTGGCCAGGCCCCTGCGCGGGCCTCCGACGCCACGGCAAAGAGGTCGGGATTGAGTGAAGGGGCCCTGGGACACACAAATAAATACACACAAATAACGTAATCCCCCATATTTTCCCATATTTTTGTCTTCCCACCCACTTCCAGTATTTTCCCATATTTTCCTGGGAGTCGACGATTGATTGTGCCTGTGTGTTTCTTTCTCTCCTGAATGAGGCCTCCGCCGTTTTTGGACCTCTGGGGGCCCTCGCGGGGCCCCAGCACCGCCCACAACTGGCAGCCGCCCGCCAGGCCCTGGGGAAGGGCGGGGCTCCTCGGGGCAGGGCGAGCTGAGACAACGTCAGCTCCAGCTCGTTTCCAGGACCACTCCCGGGGTCCCAAGCCCACCAGTCCTTCCAGCTCCCCTTCGGCCTCGGTCGGCGGAGGTCGGCAGCCGAGTCGGGAGAAGTCGAATCGGCGGAGATCGGCAAGCTATAATAGGCCTCCAGTGAGAGATCGGAGCCCGAATCGGAAGCCCAATCGAATCGGAATCGGAAGCCATCGAAGCCGAACGGATCGTTTCTCGGACCACTCCCGGGGCCCAAAACACCCAACAACTCTCCGAGAGCTCCCCTTCCAGCCTCGGTGGCGACGTGGGCCCCCCGAAGGCCAACCGCCGCTGCGTCTCAGCTCGCCCTCCCCTGAACTGCTGGGGGCCCAGTGTTGTCAGCTCGTGATTAACAAATCCGTGGGGGGCGCGTGTTTGAACAAATAATCCCCCTGCTCGGGCGAATCGCGGGGTGGCGCCCGCCAGATTGAAAATCAGCGGGGCGGCGCCGGTGATTGGCGCCGACGCCTAGCCGCCAACGAGGGGCAAGGGGGGGCGTTCGGAGGCAAGGGCGAGCCAGGGCGCCCCTCTCTCTGTCGAGCCGATGCGGGCCTGCGGGCAAGGCGGGCTGGACGGAAGCTGGGCGCGCGCGGCCGGACTCGCGAGGGCGGCGCAGCAGAGGGCATCAAGACGTGCCACGGCGACCTCACTCGCGACTGGCCTGCAAGGGCAGCGACCGCGCGGCAGGGGTCTCTCGCGGCAAAGGGGGGCGCGCGCAGGCGGCCCTGCGCGGGCAGCCTGCGCGCGAGCACCCGCGTGCTCTTGGAAGCGGAAAATTCGTCGTCGTCGTCGCCGTCGCCGCCAACGCTGCCGTCGTCATCGCCGTCGCCGTCGTCTTCGCCACGACGCCCGCGCATTCACGTTATTACCAGCGGTGGGTCGCGCGCGACATTGCGCTCGCATTTCCGCTCCTCCGACGGGGGCCCAGGAGGACATAGTTTTCCACCCACAATTTTAAAGTAGAATGGGAAACATACGCCTCTGATGCCCCGCCCGCAGGAGAGCCTAGAACCGAACCGATGAATCGGATCCGCGACCGAAAGGAATCGGATAGGCGGAGGTCGGCAGCCGAGTCGGGAGAGAAGTAGGATCGGCGGAGATCGGCAGGCTATAGTAGGCCTCCAGTGAGAGATCGGAGCCCAACATCGGAGTCCCAAGCCGAATCGAATCGGAATCGGAAGCCATCGGAGCCGAGCCGAATCGAATCGGAGGAATCGAGACGAGCCCTGGCCCCCCCCCCCCCGTTTTGGCCGCGTGCGCGCAGGGGGGCGGCGCGAGGGGGGCGGGGCCCTCTGGGGAGGCGGGGGGCGGGGGGCCGAGGGGCCCCCCGGGGGGCGGCGACGGCAGGGCTCGCCTAGGGTACTGACTTGAAGTCGGGCCTGTCCTCCTACAGGGGGACTTTGGGCGAATGGGCGAAAAATAAAAGAGACTCCAACAATACCCCCCAAACGGGAAAAATAACAAGAAAAATCGTTCCCATACTATTGTTTTACTATTTCTGAATATTCCTCCTGTAGAGGGACAGGCCCAACTAAGAGAGGCCAGCGCTGCCGGAAGCCGCCTCCAGAGGGAGCAGGAGGAAAGAGGGAGGGGAGTGGGCTTCGCAACTGCGGTGCCCCGCTCAGGCTGGCCACCTAGGTGCTGCAAGGGAGAAAGGCTTGCTTGGGCCCCAGCCTGTGTTGTGGACCCCCGAATTGCACGACAGCGGATCCCGCCGCATGCTTCCCCACAGTTGATTGAGGAACCTGGCTTTCGCTAGGGACTTCCTTGCAATAAAAACAGGACGCCCGCTCTCGAATTCACGAATCGCTCTCTCGGCGCTCTGTAATCGTGCTTTCGCTTTGAACTCTCTCATACATTACTCAGGAACCGCGCTCTCGCCTGAGACTTCCATGCTGTCCCCTCTTGCTAGTCTCTTGCTAATCACTCGCGTCCTCCATCGTCTTCCCCCCTTCCTCTTGCCCTTTCCTTTCATTTCGGCCCTTCATGCTTGAAGGGCTGCGTCAACTACACGTGGCATAATAGAGAGGTATACATCCCAAAGGGAGCACGATCAAAGACGAAGCGGGCGGGAACCGAGGAATTGAGAGAGACATGTTGAATGACATGCGAGCATATGAGAGCGATCCATGTTCGACTGACTCTTATCGTTGCTGCTTTTGTCCTCCGCTCCCGACAGCGCAAGCCAGCCTGGTGCCCCTGTGGTTGCCTCGCGATGCGCCCCGCCGAGGAAGCGTGAGACGGGACGAATCAACACAGGAGGAGGATGGAGGAGGAGGAGGAGGACGACGACGAGGAGGACGGGGAGGATGATGATGGAGGAGGAGGAGGACGACGACGAGGGGGAACTGCGCTCGAGGTCTTCGAACTCCCTCTCTCTGGGCCCTCTCTTCGCTGAAGATCCCAAGGGTGTCGCGGGGAGCGCTGGCTAAGGGAGCCTTTCAGTGTGCTGCCCTGGTGACCCCCCCCGTCCACCCTTTCTGGATGCCACAGTCTTGAATCTGCTGCATCCGATGGAACAAGAAAAAACTAAAGTCGAGTGAAAATGTGTGGAGGCTCGAGCGGATCTCTTGGATCGGCGCTGGACCCTTTGCCCGAGCGCGCGGAGCGCGACAGGGGCGGCGCCGGACGCGCCGCCAGGGGGGTCCAGCGCCAATCCAAGCAATCCACGTGCGAACCTCCGCGCGCGTAATGTTTCTATGCAGTTCGCTAGTTTTGGAATCCGCGGGCACGACGTGCCAAATGCAAATTCTGAAAACCCGAACCGGGTAGCCCCAGGGTGCGGCTACGCAGGGGCGAGGAGGAGGAGGAGGAGGAGGAGGAGGAGGAGGAGGGGGAGGAGGAGGAGGAGGAGGAGGAGGAGGAGGAGGAGGAGGAGGAGGAGGAGGACAAGCTAGGTGCGCTCGCGTCACATCTGACGTCCTACCCCTCCCTCCCATCCTTTACTATGGCGCAGATCTCCTCTCTCTTCGCACAATGTCGCAGCAGGGCATAGCATTACATGGCATAGCATGGTGTTGAAGATCAACGCGTAGCCTGACATAGCATGGCGTGGCGACGCCCTAAAGTGGAGGGGGGCTTCTGCGGCCGCAGAAAATAAAGAATCGACACCGAATGTGGAATCACTTCCGATGTTTGTTTCGAGGGGCCATTTTCTAGATTTTGGGGCCTACTGGGCAGGACCGAAAACCATGCCGCGGCATGGCTGGACATAATGACGCCAACGCTGCAGCGGGAGCACGATTCAGAACGGGCAGAAGCGCGGAAATGAGGCAAGCGCTGCAGCGGGAACACGATTCGGAGGACGCGTAGCCTGATATCGCATGGCGTGGCGGCGCCCCAAAGTGGTGGAGGGGGGGCTCCTGCGACCCGAAAAATCAACGAATCCGCACTGATTGCGGAATCATTTCCGATTGTTTTTTCGGGGGGGGGGCATTTTCTAGATTTGGGAGCCTATTTGGAAGGACCGAGCACCATGAGCACCATGCCGTGGCATGGCGCTGGAAATGATGACGCCAACGCTTCAGCGGGAGCACGATTCGGAACGAGCGGAAGCGGTAGCCCGAAAGTGACGCCAGCGCTTCAGCGAGAGCAGCATTTTGAAAAAAACAAGCGAGAACCCAACTCCCGGGAGTCCTGTTTTAAAAAATACTACGCGGAGGGGGCCGAATAGTTCCCGGCCGCCACGCAAGGGGAGAGAGGAGGGCACTGCTCATATTGTGTAACTGTGGAGGTGGAGAAAGAGGAAGGAGGAGGAGGAGGGAGGAGGAGGGAGGAGGAGGAGGAGGAGGAGGAGGGAGGAGGAGGAGAGGAGGAGGAGGAGGAGGAGGGAGGAGTAGGAGGAGGAGGAAGGAGGAGGAGGGAGGAGGAGGAGGAGGAGGAGGAGGAGGAGGAGGAGGAGGAGGAGGAGGGAGGAGGAGGG